ACTACTAGCGCCATCTGTTGTGTACTCTGTGTAAGTGTTTATATTTGTAAAAAACGTCACTCTGCTCCGAACTAACATGAAGTTTTATTACGATTAACCATACCGTCCTGCGGCAGGCGGGGTCTGCGCCCTGCGCCAGCAGCTCGGCCACGCAGTCCGTGTGCCCCATGGCCGCAGACAAAATAAGGGGCGTTGTTCCGTCCTGAAAGCATAAAGATCAACTAAATAGTCTTTTTATGCAGATTAAAACACATTCAGTACATTCCAAACTGCCAATACATAAATATTGAACGTTCTATTCACGCTATGATGATACCGTTAACATAATTTTACTGCCCGTCGACTGCAGTGCGAACGTATTGCATTAATCATATCTGCATCAGCGCACATGGCGCTGTATCTATATCACCAACCGATGTAACTGTTAGTGTTGTCCGGTCCACTTGTTATTGTTATTACAGCCCCGATCTACACTTCTCTGCATGGTTTATTATGTTCGGCTTTTAAATACAAAAGTGAAGATCATATTTACGTACCTACATTTAATATGGCAATATCTACGTTCAGGGGTTTTAGAGGTTCCAAAAGCAGCCTCTATTTCAATCCCGTTTTTTTGACGCCTGGCGTATCCGCGAGAAGTGGCGCGAAGGCAGGCGCAGTGTGACGTGAAACGTCGACGAAATACTACAGCCTCAGTGCGCAGTCGCAATAAAGCTCAAGAATGCTCGAGACGCGAGGCGAAATTGACGCTTCCGTTCCGTAAATTGAGCCCAAAGGTGAAATGTTTAAAGACCTCCATGAGAAGAACAAGCAAGAAACTCTAGGGATTTTGTTCTTTTTCAGAGCTAAGATCTGCAGTATGGGGATTAGCAGCCTCTTGAATTGGTCTAAGCTACTACTAAGTTGGAGAATAGATTACTTATGCAAGCCAATGGGAATAGTGTTGTACGAGTAGCCATTGCTATACATAGCACAGTGTTGGCATTATACGTACATAACCAAGAAATAGAACACGGCTCTCGTTACCGCGAATCATTTATCTTCCACGTCCGTGCACTGGTACACACGTCAGTCACCACGCAAAGCATACAACGCGTTAACGCTCTCATTTATATTCTACGTCCTACAATCGTGAACACTAGCCTATTTATGGTCACTCAGCAAACATTTATCATGAAGACGTCTTTCTTTTATAGCGTTGAGAAAACCCATTCTCCGTGAATTGTTGGCGGCCCAGTCGAGCATTAACATGGTCTTTCGTGCATGTGCCATGCCTATAGGAAATCTTAATTTATTTAGTATTGCTAGCACGGTGGCATGTTCGCGTTTGTGGTCTGTTATATATAGTGATAGAAATGTCTTGTAACTAAAATCTGATATGCCTTATGAATAAATGTCATTTTCATTTTATAATTAGAAATATAATCTTAAAAGGACGTTTTGGTCTGCCACGCATGGGGTGACCAAGAAAGTGGTCGCGCTCCTGATCTGGGGCTCTGGCTAAGTTTTCAAATATTATGTTAACTTAACTATCGCGTTTAAACCTTTTAAATTAAGATCTATATAAAAATTTCAACGCAAACGCAATAGTCAAGTTTGAATGATTACAAATTTACACTCAGGCCTTTGTAGACGACATCATTCGTCGACACCGTAGTAGATAGGTGAGATAAGCGCATGATCGTGGTAGATGTAGTACAAACTACGGGAGGCTTATACCCAACAGTCGGTGAAGTACGACTGTGGGTAATCATGAATATTCGTAACATCTGCACTGACCGAATATAATAAAAGTACTCGTACTAATGGCTATTGTAAATTATTTACAATCCATAGCAATAGAAACGGCTATGCCCGATCGTATTGCATAGGTTCCATTTATCGTATCCATTCATCATTATCAACCACGTAAGTCAAAATCAATACGGGCCTACACGCCTGCTCAGTGTAAGCACATTATAGATGCTAATTACTGTATGCAATCAATCACAAATTCAATAGTTGTTCCAAGTTCTAACACAGTACACAATATTCGTAATACTTTGAATCGAGGGTTATGCAAGTTGCTTCACGTGACGAGGTGAAAGAACGGTGAACGATAAATCATCACAACGTTCGACCTTTACGACTGTAAGCGCAAATCTGTACAAGCCTTGAGAGGAAGCGTGAACTGATTTCAGAAAACATTATAGACACAATCTCACGGAAATTAGATATAGCCGTGAATATTATAGGTATCAGCAGCTGTAGTTTAAAATTGTATCAGAATCAACTTTTGAACAGTGCCTAGAAGCTTATTAAAACACAATAGACAAACGAAGGAGAAAAGATGTTTGGGTATCGAATATGTCTCGACAGGTTTGATGGGAAGAGCGGAGAAAAGATAGGCAGGGGAATGTCTACACGAAATTATTTGGGTCAGGTAGGGGAAAATCATCATCATCAGCCCACGGGTCTCCTCTTAGGTTAGAGTGCAGGGTATACTCCGCCACCCTGACCTAATACGGGTCAACAATCAAGTTACGAATGCAATTTACCTCGAGTGTCTAATCTACATTCTCTGCCCGATTCGAGTTGGTGTAACGTTTCTGGATAAATCGGGGAAGTACAAAAAAATTTTATCGGGAAAAATCAAAAAACCATCAATTTTCAATTAATATAATATATTTCTGAATATTTCATCATGAAACCTGCGTGTGGAAGAAGGTTCTTCACAACCTTTGGTAAGAATATAGTCTAAACCTTCCGTAGATGCGGCCCGTGCCCAACATACGTGTACAATGGGTTAATGATGATGATAATGAAAGTGTATCAATCGTTTGTAAAAACTAAGAATGTTACCATTAATTTGTAATCATCTTACTTACGTTACAATAAAGGTGTACGTACATAAGTAGACGGAATTTTTTTTGTTTATTATTTTAAACACAATACTTACGTTTGGACACTCGATGAGGGGGTCCCGGGTTTGATTCGCAGTAGGATAAATTTGGGACATGAACTGTTCTACATTGGTTCTAGTCTGAGTGTTTCGGATAATGCCCAGGAGTGAATTCCGTTGTTCTAGGACCTACTCATAGTTTGTTTGTGTACTCGTAGTTTGCGACCAGGCAATTGATGTGGTTTCTGGCGTATTTTATTATTATATAAAAACTGCCCGCAACCGCTCTTAACTTGCAACTTCACTAGGTACCGACCCGGGTTACACAAAGAGTATAGAATGCCTGAAAGTGGGGCAGTTTTTTTAAGCTCCGATCGTTCGCCGATCCCCACCGTGCACTTCACTGTTCCAGTGAGCAAAATAAAAAAGCGTAAATAAACAATGCGGGACTCCATGACAATGTCAGGCGGTTTTAGATACACGAGTCCACGTTATATACTGCTAATTTTAAATTATCTCAATTGTCAATGGCAGGATTTTGTATGTTTAGTATTCTGCTAGAAGTTAAGAGTAGTGGTTTATAAGTGGCTGACCATTGAGCTACTGTCCAACTGCCATTGCAATTTTTTGGTATCCTGCTCTTCAATAAAATAAAAAACCTTTAATTTGAAGACTGAAGAAATTGCTGATTAAACAAGGTCAAAATTAAGATACGCATAGTAATTTCTATGGCAGAATGGATGCCTCCACTGACACTCCACAGCCCGGGAATCCCTGCTTGCGACTTTGTTTCCGAGCACATACAACCCGAGTATCTTTAAAGTGCGAGGGTTCTTCTGGACGAGCTCGTTCCATTGTAGATCCTATCTTTGCTCCAGGACTAGGTAGTGGTTAATGAAATCACAACGACCAGTGGTTTCAAAATTAGGAGACTTGAGGCCCTTACTAAGAAGGTATGGAAAGATAGTTTATATCGAGTTCTTAAGTTTTCGTGATTGCTACATAATTGTAAATTAAAATGAAAGTTGTATTGTGTATTAAACAATTTTTTTCGATCTTAACCGTGCATATTTGTTTTTTCAAACAAATCAACGCAACGCTTGGCTCTTGCCGTTCGCAGTTACTGCGTGAAGTCGATCTCGATTGCATGAAGTCTGTTTCGACACGCATTAACTGTATTGAGTCGGAACCAACTTCATGTCGGTTTCGTCTTCATGAAGTCAAGACGGACTGCATGCAGTTATGGCGTGAAGTCGTTATTAACTTCATGCAGTCTAGGTCTCGACTGCATGAAGTTGATTACGACAGCACGCATTAACTGCAAACATGCATTCAATCTGTTAGCAGCCTAACATTGAAATAAGGTAGGTTACGCGATTTAAGTCCGGAAAAAATATTTTCATTTGCAACGATTTTCTATTTACTGTGCCAAAGTCTGCTAAAATGGAATTAGATTAGTAACTTTTGAAATGAAAGTCCCTAATCTTTGGAGATGAGGTGGATAACTTTTCAAGGTGACATTACGAAACTCACCCTGTCTCTCGAGTCTATGTGCACCTTCCCCGTGTCGAGCAGCTGCCGTAGCCGGTCACAGTCCCCTCGCAGCGCAGCTAAGTGGAACTGCACGTCTGTACGAGACTCCTTCTGCAAAAGGTCAGAATATACTGGTTAATTCCAGTATTTTTGCACCTTGTGAAATGAATAGTTTGAAAAGGGGAAAGAAATTTTCAATTTACCTGTCTGAATCGCGTTTGTTTTTTTGTTAATCGTAAATTAAAGACGTATTTAAGTAAAAAAAATATGTTAATGTTTTCTATTAGTTGGTTCTTAACATGACGAATCAGTAAACACGACTGTTCAACCAAGACATAAGGAGCTAAAAACATACGCGATTACGTAGATAAACCAACAAGAAATGCAAAACTCGCGGATCTGTTTTTGTGCAACTATAAATTACCTTACAGTTAAACGACGTAAATGCGACAAAAAGATAAAAAAACAACGCATAATAATTACGCTCGCATGTTCACCGCAAATCGCGATGATCGCTGCGCTTGCAGCGAAAATGTACATATCTTGACATCACAGTCACGAACACCAGTGATTTTGTACAATTTACCACATTTTTGTTCTCTGTTCGACTTTGTCACGTCGTGTAATTATACTAAGAGTTCTATTGTATTGAAGGTTATTTAGTTTGTACCCTAGAAATGTTTTATTCACGAAGTGTCCCAGGTCCAAATCGATTTTTAGTTGCTTTGTACCAACTTATTTACGTTACGTTACGTTTGACATATTTAGTACTTCAATTTTTTTCTACGTTTAATGCTATGTAAATATTCAAATTAATTAGATAATGACGTTAACTACATCTAATAAGTATTTCTTTATAATAAAAACGAGTGATAGTGAATTCATTTTGTAAATTCTAAGCCTATAATATCATCAACGAGCCATTTATACAACCCACTGCTAATCACGGGTCTCCTTTCAGGCGAGGGTTTAGGTTATGTTAGGTTGGGGCACACTCAGACTTTTCAAGGGTTTGTGAACCTTCTTCGACGTACAGGTGTCATCACGATGTTTTCCTTCAACGAAAAGCTCATGGTAAATTTCAAATAAAATATGGCACATTAATTCCGAGAAAGTCAGAGGTGCAAGCCCGAATTCGAACCCATGTCCTTGAGAGGCGGTCGGTCAAACCATTAGGCCGCTGCGGCTTGTATATGACTATAATATAATATTTATATAAATAAGAAATCGCCATTGTTAAAATGTTTTAATTGAAAATATAACAAAAAAAATTTAGTAAATTAGGTCACGATTACAATGGTTTTAAGCCATCTCTACTTCTTTTTCGTCATCGTCCTTAAAGGGACAAAATGTTGTATTTTTCTTAGACTTACAGCATCTAGCTTCTAGTGGTTCATTTGGGGCCATCATTACAATCTAATTGCGTCATTATTTTGACATTGTAATTTTGCGTACTGCATTTTTTCTATTGTTTGCTACTGCAGTCAAAAATTTATCTTACCAGTTTATAAATAAGGTTAAGCAGCAGCACAGCTTCAAGAGTTGTCAACTTTACGTCTGAGTGTGACGAATACAGTGCCCCTTAAATCTTAGCGATTTAAAATTGAATGGCACTGCATCTTTTGCATAGGTGTGTCGTTACCGACTTCCAGATTAAAGATTTGTGAATCATAATTAGATTCAAATGTTTCCTGTTCCGAAAGTGGAGTCAGTTTGGACATTCAAAAATATTACTGTTTAATGTTGCAACACTGCATTTATTTAGTCTCCTCGGCTAACGATGATTTTTTTCAATATAAAGACAATTATAACTAGTTTTAGTTGATACAATTTCTTTGATCATCAATTATTGTATTGTATTTTATTTGCTTGCTTCTGTTTAGGACCGAAAATAATGACTTTTCCGAATTTCATTTTACCACCATTGTTTATTATTACTTGCCACTCTTTTTAAAGAGAACAAATGAAATTTTAATTTAATTTAAATTAATAAATTTATGTATACGAGCTGTGTTCAATGCACTTATGCATTTCTTATTAATTGAAGCACAACGTCCAGTGTGACAGATTTTTTCTTGTTTTTCTTATTACGCCAGGCTCGACTGCCTGTCCACTCGGGCATACATTGTTTACACACGTAACTTACAAGTTTATATATGGTATGTTGTGACCTACTATATACGAGTATATTATAAAACTTAATAGTTTTGTGTCAAATTAATTCGAACATTCCATTTTACTATTTAGTATTAATTGACGTTACACGAGAACTGCCAATGCATACGGGATTCCGGGAATACAATTCATTCCGTATTCTCGTCCAGTCTGAGTAAGATTCAGGTTACCATCTCTATAGTTACACAAAGGATCTTGTATGTAAAATAAGGGCATAGTTCAGTAATGTTTGTTTCCTCGGTTATATTTTCACAATGCGAAATCCCAATATAAGATTACTACATCTTTAACCTAGTTCAAGTATGTAGTAGATTATGGTATCATGACAGTTAACCTTAGAACTAAGTCCAACTCATGGTACCACGGTTTCGTTTAACTGAGGTAAACGATTCTTTTATGGGGAACTGTGTACGTTTTTACAATAAGATTCCGAATTATATTTTAAGATTATCATTTCCTAAGTTTAAAATTTACATTAATTGATGAGTCATAGAAGATTAAGGGTCATATTCCAGAACTCTACTCAATGCTCAAATCAGGACTTGAGTATGGTTTAAAGCACTCGAAATCATACTCAAGTCCCTGCCATTAGGGTCTTATTTCCAGTGCTTGTGTTGCCAGTGCAATCCTGACTTGAGCATTGAATAGAGTTCTAGAATACGACCCAACGTGTTAGATAAAGATATATGGAAAGACAACATGAGTCTAGATTCCACATAAATATTATTGAAGGTGTATTCCATAGCATTTAAGTTTATTTGAAAAGAGCAATCCCTAGAGTTTCTTGCTCGTTCGTCTCACGGAGTTTCAGTAGCTTAAAAGTGACGTTTTCAAGTGTAAGAATTTTACTTATGGAATAAATGATTATTTGACTTTGATGATGAAGATGTAGCAGATGGAGAAAAGCGAGAACCGACCGGTGACCAAGAAGCGTTTACTTTAACGTGTGACCTCCTGGGTACATGACATAGTCAAAATCAAGAATTTGATAACAGAAAAAATATAGAAACATCTAGACTAAATGTTAATTGAAATATCGTTTATAATTAGCCAAAAACTATTTGAATTTATTTTTGACTGATCATATTTCAATAAGCACATTGAGAAATGAGTCATACACATACAATACACATGGCATCATATTATTCAAAGTAAGATGGGTAGCTGTTAGATTGGTACCTCTAATTAATAATCCGATTATAGAGAATCATGATTGCCATGATTACTGGGCCGTTGTGGCAATCACTATCAACTTTAAATGATTATCACAATACATAATGATTTAATTTTTTTGTAACTAACAGCACCAGCTGTTCTAAGCTAGTATTCTTGGTGAATTTTTTTCTAATTTTTTTTTTATTTTTTATTTTTATTTTTTATGTTAAATAGTAGGCAAACGAGCAGACAAGCCACTTGATGGGAGGTGGTCATTGTCGCCCATGGACACGAGCAATACCAGAGGCATCACCCATGCGTTGCCGACTCCGGAGAACCTTGTTTACACGTCTTTTGAAGAACTCCATGTTATAGCGCAAGGGGAACACTTCAGGAGGAATGTCACTTCCATATTTGCATATGTACATGTATATATTAATATACAAGGTATCCCACGGCAATGCGACAGGAAAGGAAAATGTTTTAAAATTATTTATTATAGATAGCATAATTTGCTTCGTAGTATATATATATATATATATGTATGTATATAGTTTATCTTTAAAAGTAAGTATTACTGCATTTATCTAAATATTGTTAAAACGTTGCTAGCCTTACCACTCACCTGGGAATCAAAACGATCAAATGTGAAAAACTGCGTTTTTATGATGCTGATCGATAAGGTCAATTACAAGTACCTACAGAGTGCGCATCACTTAAACGCCTTTTAGTTAGAAGCTTACAAAATCGTTCAGAAAAACGTTTAAGCGCTTACACTTTATGTTAAAAAACCTTTAGGAAACATAGATGGCTGTTGGGACTTGTAATTTAGGCACGATGTAAAAATTAAATTGTTGAGTTGAACATTACGCCTATTCAACATTATTCGTGGGGCGGATCCTATTAATTAATTATTGAGATGATATCAGTTATTACCGCAATATAATAACACTGATTAAAATATGGCATAGGCCAGTCGATATATTATAAAACTGTTTTAATGGCAGGCAGCAGTTTAGATATAAATCTAGGCCTGACTTCATCGGTAAAAGCGAAAACGTGTATCTTTAAGATGGCGGATAAAGCTGTCCTATTCAGAGAGAGGGTTATTTTTAACAAGGACCTTGGATCTGTTTTATTTGGAGCAAGATTGCTAAGATTAACTATGAAAAATGTAGGGAAAACGCAATATTTTTAGCCGTAGCGCTTTCTATGAGAAATCTATGATATTTGGTCACCCAGTTAGATACATTTACAGCTATCAGTCCCGGCTAGAGATGTCGCTATTCATTGTATTTTAAATTTTGATTGAATTGTTATTCAATTATTTTTATGTGAAATTACTCCACTAGTTTCTTATAATTATTAATACAAAGATCGAACAAAATGTAATATTGGTTTAAACTGCTTCAATAGAACAAAGTGTCAATAATTTCTAACTAGTTTTGGTTAACCTATAGCCAATTCACACGTGTTTACATAATCAAAAGTTTATGGACATAGGTACTTCGTATTGAAGGTCGAATGGTTATATACTCACGTTTCAATATCTCTACTTGGCTTTGCTTACATGTTTTCATTACACAACTTTCACAATTTTATGACATTTCCAATTTATGTGCGAATTAGCAAAAAAAGTTATAAAGACGTATATAAAATAACGTATATGAAAGACATTCAAACACGCAATTACTTGTTTTCGTAGTAGGAACAATGTAAATATTTATGTAATGACTGTATAGAACATTTCCACATGTGCAAATATTTGTTATGAAAAACTC